TCACCAATCGTCAGGGAAATGCAAATTCAAACTCAGTGAGAACGTCTTGTTCCAAATTTTAATTATCATAAAGACAAGAAATAGATTGAGATGCTGAAGAGAAAGGGGATCTCATGTTCACTGTTGATACAAATGTGTTATTACAGTTTTTGTCGGAAATAGTGTAGCGCTCCTTGGGAAACATGAAATGGAACTAAATATGATCCAACTAACCCACTATAGGACATTCTCAAATGTACTGGAATTCTTATACCAAAAGATGTATATTTCTATACCTATTACAATATTATTCATTATAGCCAAGCTATAGAAATAACCAAAATGTCTATTGACAAATAACTGGACAAAAAAATGCAGAAATTTTAACCATGAAGATGAGTGGAGTCTTGTTATTGGTAGAGACGTGAGCAGAACTGGAGGACCTTATATCAAGTGGAATAAACCTGCCATTGAAAGAAAAATATTATGTGTTCTTGTTCAGATGTTGGTGCTCGGGTAAAATAGTAGTCACAAGAATCGAAGCAGGAGTGAAGGTGAATGCCAGCTTGGAAGGATCTAGGATCACCAGAAAACAAAGTGCTTGGTATATCTATAGGGGACTTCGGTAATTATGGTGAGATGACCCAGCCTAAGTATGGGCAACATCATTCCATAGGCTTGTGTGCTGGACTCATAATAAAAGGGGGAAGCAAGCAAGAACACCAACATTCATTTCTCTGCTTCCTATCTGAACGGCAATGTGACCAGTCACCTCAGTCTTGTGGTACCATGACTTCCTGGACATGCTGGAAACCGAACCCTTAAACTATGGGCCAAAATAAACCCTTAGTTGTTTATGTCGGGTGTTCTGTTTCAGAAACTGGAAAAACAACTAATACTGAAGGATGAAGGAGCAGGAGGTGGCAATGGATTTCAGTGTTCAGTCCTACAGAAGGAGCAACTACGGCTAACAATAATTTATTAGAAGTTGTGTAAGTAGAGAGAAAATAGAATCTTAAGACTTCCCAACACAAAGAAATGTTTAAGGATATATAAATCCTTTTAGTTGCATTTGTCACCACACATGTATATGCATATATTGAACTATCACAGTGCATCCCAGAAATATGTACAAATATTATTATATGCCAATTAAAATCTTTATCAACAGAGGAAGAAAAAAGGAAGGAAGGAAGGAAGGAAGAAAGGAAGGAAGGAAGGAAGGAAGGAAGGAAGGAAGGAAGGAAGGAAG